ACCTTGGTCCTCTTGCCTGCCCCTGGGATGGAACGGGCTGGAATCCTCTCCTTTGCACACTGGGAGAAAATGAGTTCAGGGAAACAGGCGAGGGGTCATCCTGACACAGCAGTGGCAGGGCAGAGAACTGTGCCAGGTGGTTCCTCATTCCAGGCTGGTGGGTTCAGCCTGCCCCTCCCTTGTATGCCCCATTGGCTTTTGGGGAAATGCAAACTCCTCAGCCTGCCATTCAAGGCTGATTTGTCCCTACACACGCCTCCCATGAAGCCAACCCAGTGTCCACATGACCACCTCCCGCCCTTGCCCACGCTGTAGCTGGCCACGCCTCCACGCTGCCGCCGCTCCTCCTCTTGCTGTGCAACTTGTAATCCTATCCCTAGAGGCATCATCATTTACTGAACACTTACTATGTGCCAGGCAAGGCCTCCTCAAAGCGGAAACTTGCTCAACTCACCTGATGGCAGCCATGCCAACTACCTTGGAAATGTGAAGTTATGGAAAAAATTCTCAGACCCTCAAAACACTAAAGAAAAAGGCTTATTTTTTTTTCTGGCTGTAGAGAAATATTTGATATTTTTAAAAAAGATTTTTCTCCAGATTTGTCTGGTGTTTGCTTTTCCTTCAGTGTGTCTCTGTAGGTTTCTCCGAGTGCAGCTTTACATTTTTCAAAGCAGCTCCCAGCCAGTATGTCTGGCCCCACAAACAACATCCCCAGGGAGGTGGGCAAATAAAAGCTTGTCATCCTGTTCTAAGGAGAATGAGGCACAGAGAAGGCAGGTGACTTGTTCAAAGTCACACAGCAGAGACTGGACTTGGCATCCTGAGGACTCCTAATCTGTGTCCTTTTAGACCCAGCAGAATGCCCAGGATAAGCTGGGCACTGCCCTCAGTGTTTGCTTACATTCGCCTTCTTATTCCTTAAAACATACCTATCAGGCAGGCACTTCCTAGATCAAGAAACAGACTCAGAGGGAGAGAGGAACTCGCCCCAAGTTGTATGACTGCTCAGTGGCAGTGGCAGAATTTGAACTCGGGTCTGCTTCCTCCAAATGGGAGCCCAAGGGAGGGTGGCCTCGGTTGGGCAAGTCACCTTCTCTCTTTGAGCCTCACCTCCTCATCTGAGACGTGGCACTGGGCTGTGGCAGGGACCGCAGGACCAGCTCGTCTCTGTGTCCCAGTGCCTGTCACGGTCCCCAGGATCCACTACATGCTCATTAAATGCTTAGTGAGTAGGCAGATGAGGTCGCTCCCATTGTGCCAGTGCAAAGCAGGAGTATCACGTTTTGTTTCCTTTCTTCCAGTAGGAAAGGCTGGAATCCCAGTGGGACCTTTCTGTTTTGGGGTGTCTCCCCACCAGCACCCCTCTGCCTCTTTTTCCTTCTTCCTCTTTGAGTCATCACCTGCCTGACAGTGCCAGTCTTTAGCCCTAAATATAGAGCACATTTTGAGGCATAAAATGTCCACAAATGTGAACGGTAGCTGCAGCCCCCTGCCCTTGGGCCCCCCTCTTCCTAGGCTGACCTCAGGGTGGCTGCCCCAGGAAGCCCCAAGTCTGGTGACCCCTGCTTGGCCCTAGTGTGGATCCAGAGGCTGCACTCTGCAGGAAGTCCTCAGCCTGGGCCCCAGGTGCCCACACTGCCACCAGAGTCAAACTTCCTTTCCTTATTGGCACAGGGCTGCCACCACACACCTCTGACTTCCCTCATCCCACAGCCAGGCTGAGCTGCCTCCCAGAGCTGGAGCTGGGCCCAGAGAGGGAAAATGACTTGTCCGGGCCACACAGCCAGCAAGAGGCAGGGCCAGCCTTGGACAGGGAATCAGCACTCTGGCAGGCTTGGCGTGAGTGCTGAGGAAGCGTGGTGGAGCTGGGAGCCCCTCACTGCCTGCCATCTAGCATGTCTGCCCCAGAGGCCACACCTAAGCCCACAGAAGCACCTCTCCACCATGCCAGTCTCTCAGAGGCAGAGGGTGCCAGGGCAAGCCTGGCAGAGGTCCTGCCATGCCAGGAGGTGAGCAGAGAGTGCTGAGGACTCCCCTTCCTTCACACCAGCTGGCCCCCAGCCTTGCTTGGAGGACATAGCAGAAACTGGGGCCTGGCAATGCCTCTAGCAAAAATGGAAAGGAAAGGGAACCTCAGAGCTGCTTGGAGCCTGAGCTGGGGCCTGTCCTGTCTTGGGAAGGACCTGCAGGACAGCACCTTCAGGGGCAGCCAAGGAGCAGCCTGGGGAGAGGCTCCCCTGACATCCAGGTAGGTGTGTGCACGGAGGGGAGGCAGGAGAGGAGGGTCCACTGAGAGGGAAGTGCTAGGCAGTTTCCCCGGATTCTTAGGGTCAGCCACGCTGGGTTCACATGAATCAGAAAAGAGGGAGGAAGGGGAGACTGCTGGGGATGGTCGGGGGCCTCCACTCCCCCCCACCCCCCGCTGGGTGATGAAGCGTTCACATCCCACACGCAGGAAGCTGATGTCATGCATGCGTGTGTGCACCCATGATGGCCCGGGTGTGGGTGGGTGCGTGTGCATGTCTGCCAGGTTCATTTTTAAGGGCGTAGGGCTTCCTTGTGTTCTTCCTGCATGCGCATGTACCATGTGTGCACCCTGGAGGAGATAATGGAGGCAGACAACAGCGGACAAGGGCTTCTGAAGAGGCTCTTCTCCTTGCTGACAACCTCCGTCTCTCTGTGTGTACACATGTGCTAGCATCTGGATGGTGTGTCTCTCAGTGTTTGGGTGTCAGGCAGAGTCAAGGGCAGGGGTCTTGGCCTGGGTGTGCCTGTGTGTTCCTGTGTCTGGGTCTCGGGGTATTTGTCAGTCAAACTGTATTTGCATTTGTGTCTGGCCGTGCTCAGGTCTCGGTTGTTTGCACAGCACGTGCAGCTGCTCAGCAGCCTCTGACAACCAGGACAAAGGCCTCTGCAGACAGACGGGCGGTCCAGAAGACAGACCTGCCCCAGGAGTCCTCAAAGGGCCCCTTGGCCCCAGAACTTCACAGAAAGGCAGGGGTAGGGCCAGGTGAGAGGGAGGTGGAGACCCTGCTGTGAGAGCCTGGGGCCTGGGTGGCAGAGACCCCTCTCTCCAACACGCCAAAGAGGCTCTGCTGCCCTCCAAGAGGCCAAAGGAAGAATCCTTCTTGTCTCCTAAGGGTGGAGGGTGGTTACAGCCAGGAGAAAGGCCTCCTGAGACCCCCTGCCAGACAGGCACCTTGGGAAGAAGAGAAGAGGAGAGGGCTTTGCCCAAGGAAGCTGGGAAGGTCCCAGAGTGGGAGCCGCATCATGGTGCTCCATGGGACGACCCTCCCTCCATGGGAGGGGCCACAAGGCGAGCCTAGGACTCTGAACCCTCTCTTCAACCTGACCCAGCTTCCAGCCACAGGCACCCTCCCCTCCTGGCAGCGAAGGGGGGAAGGTCTGCATGGACCACTCCACTATGGAGTTCACTCTTCCTCCACCCCACCGCTGTGGAGATCCGCTCCGATCAAGAGTCAGAGAACCACAGCTCTAGACCTGGCTGAAGGTGACTAGGTGACCTCAAGCAGTTCATTTAGCCTCTCTGAGCCTCAGTTTCCTCATCTGTGTAACGGAGGCTTCAGCCCCTACCTGGAAATACTGCCGGGAAGGGGGAAATTGCTCCTGCCACCTGAGGATTAATCATTACCCTGGAACGCTTCCCAAGGCCGTCAAGGAACACTCGCCCCTTGCCAGATGCTCCTGCTGTGGAGGGCTCTCAGAGTGAGGCTGAGGTCCTGGACAGGGGAATGGGGGACCCCCAAGGCCAGCTGGACCTGGCCACTGCCTCCCCACTCAGCCACAGCCCTCAGGGCCTTGTGCCAGTCCAGAAGCCCATCCAGGGACACCTTTGGCCAATGTTCTGTTTCATGTGCAGGACAACCCTCCTCAATGCCCCGACCATAGTGTGCCCAGACACCCTCAGGAAGGAGGGACCGCTGCCTGTGCCCGGGTGCGGGGGAGGGGGGGCCCGGAGCCTCCTGCCAGCCTCCTATGGGAAGGAAGTGGTGCCATCTCACCCCATTGTCTTTCTCTCCTACTTCCACCTGGCTGGCTTCCCTCAGTGCCCCTCCTGCCTGCCGCCCAAGGGGCCTGACCTCTGACTTGGCAGGGAGGGGAGTAGAGCCCAGGGACAGAGGCCAATGCGCCCTGTTAGTGGTGGGTGTTCTTCCTGACCCCACCACCAGGCCTTTGCTATAACCCCAACAAGGACTCCGAGGGCACGCACAGACCAGGGTCTGTTAGGGTAGGGAGGGGGCTGCTCACCTCCGGAGACTGCGTGTGTGCGCGCGGGTGTGTGTACACAAGGTTTCTTCTCCAAGCCCAGGCGCCCTGCAGCTGGCACCAAACCCTGAAGGGCGCGGAAACCGCCCCGTGAATTCCCACTGAGTCCTCAGATCCTGCCGAGGCAGGGGAGGCGACGAGGGGGCGCCCAACTGCGTGACGCGTGTGCCCTGCTCTGCCGCGGGTCAGGGACGGGGGCGGGGGAATGCGCCCTGTCTCTGGGGATGCAAGGACACCACTACCCTCCCCACTCAGGGTCGTTGATCTGAGGCCCCCACTTCCCTCCTCTGAGGACAGGAGCGCCTCCCCCTGGGGGGCGCTAGGGCTTGGGCCCCTCCCCAGGGATGGAGGAAACGCGCCCACTTCCCACAGTCCCTCCTCTAAACCCCAAATGTCCTCACCTGGGGTGGGCGGAAAACCAGACTCCTGACCCACCCAGGGGGGTGGGACCAGAGCCCCCTGGCTGCGGCCTGGACCAAGTCCCCCAGGCTGGGGGTTCGGCCGACCCAGCCCAGGCCTCCCCCACTTTTCCAGCCGCTGTCAAGCCCTGCTGCCCTCACCCCTCACCCCTGGAGACCCAGGTCCCCCGCGCGTTCGCCCCCACCCTCCGTCCTGGCCGCCCGTGCGGGGTCTTGGCTGCGGGCTGACGGGAGCCCGGACACCTCCGTCCCTTTCTCCTTTCCAGGGCCGCAGCCCCAGCGGGGCGCACTCACCGCGGGCCTGGGCCGGGGGCGTCCTGGGCTCGACACTCCGGTGCCCGCGGCCGCCGCTGCAGCTCTGCTCCTACGCGGCCGGCGCTCGCCGCCGCCGCCGCAGTTCGGGGAGGGGGATGTCACGTGACCACAGAGCGCTCTTTCCCCGGCGCCGCTCCCCCGTCACTGCGGAGCCCGAGCCGCGGGCGCGGGAGCAGCGGGGAGGCCCCAGCCCTGCCGACCCGCCGCCCCGCCCCGACGCGCCGCAGGTCCCGGAGGAGGGCTCTCGGTGCCATTTTACAGGTGGGGAAACTGAGGACCAGAGCGGGGCAGGGACTGGCTCCGGGTTACACAGCTAGACAGTGGCAGGACCTGGGCGAGAGTTCAGCGGTTCAGGCAATAGCACATGCTCCAAGGGGACAGGGACAACTTCTGGAGCAAGTGGAGACGTCTGGTTAGGTGGTGGCCACAGCACCCATGGGCTCCGCTTGTCTGTAGGGGCGGGAGGCTTCGCTGGGCGAGGAGGCTGCTACGCCCTGGCTAACTCCCTCCTCACCCGGACGCCTGGTGAGCTTCCTGGCAAAGGCCACGCGGTGACCCTCGCCAGCCCATTCGCGGCTCTCGGACTTTCTGCCTGGACTGGGCAGCTCGTCCCCGCCCAACCTAACCTGGGTCCAGGGCGTGGGTGGGGAGGGGAGTCGGGGGCCAGGAGGAGAGTGGGATCAAGACGAGAGTGAAAACCCAGGCACAGAGTGGACGCAGACATCACCTCAGCCTGACTTCCAAGGCCCTGGGAGAGTTAGACTTGCCCCAAGTCCGCAGCAAGTGAGCGGCCTGCCCACTTGAGTCCCCTCTTGGATGGTCAGCAGAGCCTGAGGCTCCCGCGCCCCACTCCCCACCAAGGGGAGCCTTCACCCACACCTCTTCCTGTTCACTGAGCTTCCTCCCAAGGGACAGCCCACATGAAGCAAAGAAACACTCAGTGAGTCTGCAAGGCCAGAGCTGCAGGGACAACGGGCGAGGGTATGGTTGGTGCCTCCAAGGTCATGAACTCATCACAGAACATTCATGTTCCAGGGGGATCGCTGAGATATCTGGATCTCACCCCAATGTTCTAAGAACTGGGAAAACAGGCTGCAAACGGTACAAAGACAAAGCTCCGTTTCAGTCGTTTGGAATTTGTGGGTCAAGCCGACAGGGTCCTCCAAGGTTAGCATGTCCAACAGGCCCACTTGACAGATAAGATTTAGGGAGGAGAAAGTCCAAGTCATGTACTCAATGTATTTCCTGGGCATCTGCTGTGTGCTTAAAACCACAACTGTCACTCCCAGTTCCCGCTATTTTCCCGGCTACATGGGCTGCATTTCATAAAAGATCTGAGGTCTTCAACAACCCTTACATCAGCCTCTGGAGGATCTGAGATACACAGGTCTCCAGGTTTTTAGCCCCACAGGAGCCAGGGACCAGATCCATGTTTCCCGGCAAGACGCTCACCCAGCGGAGAAGCGGTAAGGGGAACAGCAGGAAATGCCCCGCCCTCATCCTACCCACCCACATGTGAAAGGGCAGAGGGGAAGGTGGGAAATCAGGCACTTGTTCTTTCCAGCCCTCTGTGTTTGAGTTCTCCCTCCTGCAAGCTTCCCCAGCTGTGTGTGGCAAAGAGACCCCTGCCCAGGGGGGTTTCTCAAACTTCTGAGAGCACAGGAGCGATCTGTGGACGCAGATTCAGATTCAGTGGGCCTGGAGTCTGAGCTTGTGCAATTACAATGAAGCTTCGCGGCATTCATTGCAGGCGCCGCCCGGCCGCAGACATCCTGAGCAGCACTGGTAGAAACAAGGCAAGTTGTCAGGACAAGAGGAAGACTCCTGCAGCATCACAAGCTCAATCAGGGCCCACCTGACCCCAGGAGCCCTTTGATTTTCTGGCTATGAATACACCAGGACTACATAGTTGGCTCAAACAGTGTAATGAAAAGGGAAGAAGTTGAATGAGGCTGGCCAAGGTGCTTCGGGGGATGGTACGGAAAGCTGTGTGGGGTAGCAACTGCTCCAGACAGGTATGTCCTGCAGGGCTCTGGTCCTGGGAGATGCTTGGTGAAACAGATCCTATTTAGGAAATGCCAGCTGAATGCCTATAGACCTTCAAGGGCAGCATGTACTGGAGCTGGCTCATCTACAGCAGGGGCGGGGCTTGCAGATCTCAGAAGTGCACGGATTCCAGGATCCTTTGAAACACCACCTCTCTACCTATCCTTTGGCTTTTTTATGCATTGCTCCTTGAATTCAATTCGGAACACAATCTCAATGCTGCTTCTGGCTTCCCTAAGTCCTGTTCGAAAAGGGCCCCTTTCTTCTCCATGCTGTAAGACAAGACCTTCAACTCTAGCCAGGCATTGCTGATGACTGCTGATCCCAGAGTGCTGAGCATCCCACCTGAGCTGGAGGGAGGGGGGCGGATGAAAACTCTGGAGATGCAGAAATGCAGCCAGCCAAGGAGTACAGCTGTGTGACCTCCTTCATGGTCCCATAACCTTTTGGAGTCTGGGCTTGCAGACTCCAAGGCCCCTAAGAGCCCAAGAGCCTATTAGCGTGGGGGTACTGAATGTCCCCGACCCTGACTGAGTAGACCAAAGAATGAAGGCTCTTCTGTGCCAGGCATCTCTACTTCTTCTTTATAATCAAGGAGCTTTTCAATTACAGCATTTTCCCCTTTACAGAAAATCTCCCTCAATGCAAGAGGCCTATATAATCTCCCATGTATCCTGGGGGGCACCATTCTGAGACTGTGAGGGCCCCTGGCGAGGAGGCAGCACGTGCTGTAGGGGGCTGGGCACAGAGCCTGGCATGGAGCCTAGCTACTGAGGGGGAAGATTGGACAAAGGCCCCGGAGCTTTGCTTTCCCTGCCCTATTTCAATCCAAACCACTCAGGACTGACCACTCATGCATGGCTGCCTCTGGGCACAAGCCTTGTCTCAGACACTTAATATGCTGCGACCCAGCCACCATCTCTGTGCCCCTGATCACCGAGAAATGAAAGCTAGCTTTCAAAATCTGGCATCCAAGAAGGCTGGAGAATGAAAACATGGGTGGCACCACAGTCAACTCCAAACAATGCATGAGGCTGTGGGTGGGGGAGGGGGGAAGGGTCCTAAAATGAGAATGATGTGTCTTGGAAATAACTCCCTATCACTGCCCACCCACTCCTTCCCAGTCAGATCAAACGGGAGAAAAACTAAGATAGGGACGGCACACTAGAGCAAGTAGGGAAACCAGACTCCAAAGGAGCAAGTCCTCAAGGTGTGCTGTCCATGGAGCAGCAGGTAAGGTCTAGAACAGGCCGGCAAGGAGGGTAGGCTTCAGGGGCAGCTTGGAGCAGAGGACAGTTCCACTCTAAGCAGAGCAAGACAGGATGAAGAGTGGCAGTCGGCACCATGGCACATGCATCAGGGAAGGACCATAGGCCCCCGTCTGGGTGGGAGGCTGCCAAGCTGGTGCAGCAGACATGGCAGAGACTACTGGGAGACCCACCCTGGGGTTAAAGGTCCGTGGATCATGAATGTGAACAGTTAGGAAGTCCCTGTTTTGAGGACAAATAAAAAAAGCCTGAAGGTGGGGACAGGACTGGTCAAACCAAAGAAATAACAAGAGCTCTTCCCCAAGGGGCCACGGGAGAACTTCTAACAGATTCCAAAGTAGTCGTTCATTATTCCTTACTGAGAACAAATCATGTGGGCCACTGTAGGAATACAGTGGTAAGATGGCCAGAGTCCTGCTCTCAGGGAGCTACAACACTCTAGCACTAATTAGGCTGATTCACTTGGTGGGGATGGAGTGGTTTTAGGTGCAGACATAAAATCCAGCCTGGCCCTAACTCTGGCTTCCAGTACGAGAAATAAACAACGCACTCTAGTTCCAGAATTGCAGACAATGTTCTAGCATGACCTGGGGCCTCTTTCTTCTACAGAGTCAGAGACATGCTGTGGATGAGTGAGAAGATGCTACAAAAACTCCAGACACAAACCAACCAAAGAGGCAGCTCAGAGACTAATACAACATGAGAAGTCCTGAGAGGTATCCTGTTTGGTGGCTTTCCAAATGTACTGCCTGGAGCTTCCTCAAGGGAGTGGGTGGGCGTGGGAGGAGCCCCCATTATCTCCTTCCACAGAGTTCATGTTTGACAACTTCTACACATCCCACTTCCTTTCAGAGAGAACACTGAGGCTCAAAGGGGAACAGACTTGTCCAGGATCATAAAAGGAACCGGTTGCAGTTTAGCATTCCCTCGGTTACAAAACACCAGAGCACCAGGGAAAGGAAAACCCAGATACCACTGTGCAGAGGCCAGTGTGCCAGCAGGCAACAATCCAACCTAGGCAGTGGCTGCCTCGGCCTCTTGGCCTCCCTGGAGTGTGTGCCCCACTTCCTGTGGCTGAGGGCCTGCCTTGCCTGGCAGCACTAATGCAGATCTGGAATTCAAGCTGCCATTCCAGCTGCTGTTATAAGGCTGGCTCCCTCCCTGCCCGAGAGCAATTTCACTTCAAAGGCCCTCCAAGTCCTTGAAAGCAGGGTTTTTTTTTTTTTAAGCATGTTGGGGAGAAACAGATGATGCCCTCTATTTGAGATCAATACAGTAATTATGTTGGACAAGCTCTCAGGGCTAACTTCAGGGGGAATTCACAGCCTCATGAATGAGGAGTGTGAAAGCACACAGAATGAGAAGGACCAGCGTGCCCCATGCCCCACTCCCACTTGTGGGATGCAGCCCATTCCTCAGTATGATCCCCTTCTGCAGCAACCTTGGTCTGGCCTCTGCTGGGTAAGACACAGCAGAGGCTCAATCCATTACAAGCTGGTGCAAGTCCCAATTCTAATGTCAAACCAGGTCAAGCACGGTGGCTCACAGCTGTAATCCCTGCACTTTGGGAGGGCGAGGTGGGCAGATCACTTGAGGTCAGGAGTTCAAGACCAGCCTGGCCAACATGGTGAAACCTCATCTCTTTGGGAAGCTGAGGCACAAGAATCGCTTGAACCCAGGAGGCGGAGGTTGCAGTGAGCCAAGATTGTGCCACTGCACTCAAGCCTGGGTGACAGAACAAGACTCAATCTCTAAAATAAAAGTCAAACCAATGTCACTTTGAAGAGGTCATACAACTCCTGGCAAGCCACAATGAATTCTGCAACCTCCTCTTTCCTGAAATCTAGTGGGGCTCAAAGAGATCAGATCCTTAAACCTCACCATATGCAGAAATCTCACATGGTTTATTTGATAAGAAGTGGTTCTATCATTTGTTGGGGGAGGGGAGACGTAAGAAATACCTGTTACATGTACTCTACCCTTGAATGATATTCCTCACTAAGTATCACCAGATAAATAAATAATGAAAAACCACAATTCTCAGACCAGGAAGTGACCTGAGTGCCAGCCACAGGCCTCTGCATGGCTTTGCTTCCAGTGCCCACAGAGCCCTGCCTCATAGGCTCAAGACATCTGTTCCTGATGTTCTTTACAATGACAATCAAAACAACTGAAGCTGCCCCTTTGGGGCAGAAACTGCCTATCACCAAGACATAAATCTTCAACATGCATTCTAAGCGTGTTTCAAATACCTTTCAACATGACCCTGCAAACAACACCGAACTGATAAGCATTGGCTTCATTACCCTTACGGGCCAGGAGGAAAGATTTAAGTAACAGGATGCTCAAACACCTGTCTAGTTATCATTTGAACTGAAAGGGCTTGAAGTAAAAGGTAGTTTCTAAAGTTCTCAGAGAAGACACTCCAGGTAGCTTGGCTAGGTAGTTTGTTACAAGACCTGTTTTTGAAGACTTGCAAGAGATTTCCACAGCATTTCCTCAGAAAGGCTACAGTTTTTCTAAAAACAAAAATAATATAAAGCCTTTTACCTTAACAGTATTATTGCTTAATCCTCTGAATGTAGTAAACAAAAACAGCAAATACTGCCATTTTTAGAGATGAAAAAACTAAGGTAAAGCAGGATTAAGTAACTTTGCTTAGTTACAAGGTCAATGGTGAAATTATCTGTAACACAGGTGGTCCAAATTCTATAGCTTCACACTTTCAACACTTGCCTACGTTTATGTGCTATCCGGATAGCCAGCAGGCTCCTCAGCCCAATGAACAGCCAGAATGGAAAAAAACCATCAAGGTTTGGGATATATGCGATGGAGAAGTGGTTTTCCGTCTTCCAACAAGACTGTCTACCTGGCACACAGGACCTAACACAGAAATGTTGCTCAGGGTAACCAATGAAGTGCTACCTACCATTTTACTAATGTTCATAATTTATACTTTAATGAAAAACAGAGGGTTCCAATAATGTTGATAATCAAATCCCCAGCCAGTATTTCTGCCCATAGAATGTCTAGATGGGTGGATGGGCAGGGGGTTAGTGATTCCAGCTTTCAGAATTATAAACGTTGCTGTTGACAAAACCCCGTACCCTGGGGTGGGGTCGGGAGTATGGGGTGTTATCATAGAGGTGAAAAATCTTTTTTTTTGTGACAGGGTCTCACTCTATTGCCCAAGCTGAATGCAGTGGTGTGATCACAGCTCACCACAACCTCGACCTCTTGGGGTCAAGCAATTCTCCTGCCTCAGCCTCCTGAGTAGCTGGGACCACCAGCATACCTGGCTAATTTTTTTTTTTTTTTTTTGTAGAGATGAAGTCTCACTATGTTGCTCAGGCTGGGAAAATCTTCTTAAAATGAAAAAATGCTGCCTTTTAGTCTGCATGCACCCTGTTCGCAGTCCCCTGCAACACTGAGTAAGCTGAGGACTGAAATGGCCCAGAGAAAGGATGTGATTCTATAACAGGAAAGACAGGCTTTCCTCCCCACTTCACTTCAGCAGTTTGTTTAGACAGAGATAAATCATCCCTTGGGTTTTTACAACAGGTCATTCAACCTGAGCATTAGATTCCAATATTAACCAGAGTCTGATGGACAGATAAATCTATGATCACATGGACCAACCAAAAGGACATTTAAAATAACTGAAAAATTCACTCTGGATTATGATTCCACTGAAGTAAAGGGACACTCATATCTTTTTAATTTGGCAGGAAAGTAATTCTAAACAATAAAGTTCATAAATACACAGAAAGATACTTATTCCCCAGGGAATGAAGACATCCAAATGCAGCCTGTATTTCAGTTAATGGCAACAATTTGTACTAGTGTAGTATGTTGTACACATCAGTTTGAGATCAAAGAATGGTCAGAAATATAAAGAGGAAAAGACTGAAGCCTCATAATACCTCATACAGGAGACTGATCTAATACAAAGTACACATGCATGGCATTAGAACCCCAACAGAAGGTGTCTCTGCACTTTTCACAGTCCAGAAGGCAAATGGACTCCATCTATTTGTAATTACAGATGAAATGAGAATTGGGCTTTAGGTTATACCTTTACCCTGTACAAAATGAGAAGGGTGACAATGCAAAGCCATTTAATACAAGCATATGCTTCTTAGCAACTCTGCCTCCCATGTGTGGGAGAGGCACATACTCAGGGTTTCTAAGAGCACGGGAGTGGCCTGTGGATGCAGACTCTGCTTCAGCGGGTCTAAGGTCTGAGCTCCTGCCTTTGTAATAAGGCTTCATAGTGTCACTGGAGCTGCTGGGAGGCAGACACTTTGAGCAGTGCTGGCAGAACAAGGCAGCAGGAGGTTGTCGGAGCAGGAGTTAAGACGACCCTGAGCCGAGTGCAGACTCCTGCAGCCTCACCTGCTCACTCAGGGCCAGCCTCACCCCTGGGCAGATATAATAAATAAACCAGTACCAGAGTAGGTACTGGCCTGAAAGATTTACAAAAGGCTGTTATTTTGTACCACTGCAGGAGGAAAAAATGCCCAAGTAACAAATTTTAAAACTGTTATCAATAGCAAATTGGGGAAAATGTTATCAGATTTCTGGGGGCTACTAACATGTTTATGTCAATCCCCAAAAAGAAGCTTCTCTGGCCAACAAGCTTCTCTGTAAGGAAACGGAAGCAGCTTCATCAAGCATTGTGCAAACTTTTACAGAAGTCTTTACCTTGGGAAAGAATAAGTTTGTGTTATTACTTTTAGGCTCCTGCATTCATTTCTTTGGAGCTAATAAAACAATGAGATCTGAAAATCAGGATCCATCAGCTCAACTTGAAGTCCTTCCCCTGTGTCAACGCAAAGGCCAGAAGAGATGGTCCCTTAGTGCCGCTCTAACCTTCCCCCACAGGCTCATTACAGACCCCCTGCCTCCTCAGGGGGCACAGACTGAATACATCAGAAATACAGAGGGGAAACACAAACACGAAGTTAGAATCTTACCAAGCAGCCACAATTACGCTGATAAAAGGAGCTATTCAAAAGGGATGCTGCCAAGGTTACCGGGTCTCAAATCAAAATCTGCCTCCCCATCCATTATCTGAGTTTGAATTTTCATGAAAGGGGGGAAAAGCCTTGCACAAACCCAAGGCCAAGAAAAGTGCTAACAAGAGAGATGCCTAAGCTAGCATCTCAGCCACAGACATGTACATACGTACTCAACAGAGGGAACTTTATTTTTGAGGAAAAACTCCCGTCTTAAGTTCAATTTTTAAAAATCCTTCAATATTCTTAAGAATATTGCTTCGGTTAGGTGTTGTTAAGAATGATAATCCTGAGTTGGATGAACAGCACATCCCATCCATATATTATTTTCCTTTTTAAAACAATGATCTGAAAGATCCTCTCAGGGCATTTTGGAAGAATGCTTTCAAAAAGGGAACTGAGGTCCAAGAAACAGTGACATGGAGGATAGGAAGAACAAATGTTATAGAAACCTTGTGTTTTCCGAATATACTTTAGTCTGATTTACTCTTCTGATAGGTAGTTAGATTTTTTTTTTTTTTCCAAACGTGCCAGGTACATTTTCCCACTTTTGAATAACAGCAAAACCGGAGGAAGATGCTTTCACAAATGTTCTCCATCCTTTCTGAAATGCACCAAAGCAAAAAGCCTCTGAAGTCAAAAACTGAGACACAATTCCTTGCTCATTGCAGGAGACAGCAGGTGCCCCCTCCTTTACCCAACACCAAGAGACAGACGGCCGGGCAGGTGTGGGCAGGTGGCGCTGCAGCGGACATGCAGAGGAGTCTAAATCTGAAGACACTTTTCCACACCTAGGACAAGTTCTTCACTTTCATGCTTTATTGAAAGTAGAATATGAATCAAAGACAGGCATTGGTAAGCAGGTTATGTCTCTAAAATTACTTTTCGTTCAGAGCAGAATGTTGTCCCATCTACTGTGGTACAATCCTTTATGGACCAATGCATCTGGTATGAGCCTCAAGCAAGGAAATATAACAGAACTTTATTCCCTCCCACGACTATAAATCTGGTATGTAAACATGATTTACTGTTACTGCTACTAAACTTGTTCTGTCTTTACTTGCCCCCTCCCACCCACCACCCCCTTAAATATAAAATTGGAAACATTTCCTTCAAGTCTGATGTCCGTCAGTGCAATCTGCTTTATTTGACATAAGGCATTTGGGACAGTCACTTTTGAATGGATCTGCCTTTTGGAAGGGGCATGTAATGGTTTAATTCTTAAATCCACCTTTGTTTAATGCCCTAACATGTCAAACTCCTCTTCCCCTCTGGTCATTTCTTAGCAGTCAGCAAGTATTCAAAGATTAATGTCCAAGAAGACCAGTACCTGGGAAAAGAAACACACATGGAAGGATAGTTGTGAACTATAGATTAAAAGTTCATAGATTCCATTTACCAAGAACACATCATCAACAGGGAACATCCAACTTAATAAATGAATACAGCAGCAGCTTTGTGTTGGAGGATAAGAAAAAATATCAGCAGACTCCAGGCTCTCTGCTAAATCACATTTCTGTTGAAAGACATGTACTTCCTATGTGCATCTTCACACAAGCTAACCAGATTTTATTGATGCTTTCATTTAATGGCTGTTTTTCTTTTTTGAGACAGTTTCACTCTTGTCACCCAGGCTGGAGTATAGTGGTGCAATCTTGGCTCACTGCAACCTCTACCTTCTAGGTTCAAGTGATTCTCCTGCCTCAGCCTCCTGAGTAGCTGGGATTACAGGCACACACCACCACGCCTGGCTAATTTTTGTATTTTTAGTAGAGACGGGGTTTCACCACGTTGGCCAGGCTGGTATCAAACTCAAGTGATCCACCCATCTCAGCTTCCCAAAGTGCTAGGATTACAGGCGTGAGGCCCCCAGCCTGGCCAATGACCATTTTTCATAAAGACATTTTTTTGCTTTGTTTTGACCCCATCAGGAGTCCCTCTGTAGTGGTAACATGCAGACAACAAAGCTGGGCGTAGAGGAAGACGTGAGGCTGGCCAATAGATTTGTCACGTATTTGCTTTAGCAAGGAACACCTGGTATGCGATTCAAACTCATTCCTTAGCAAAATCACAGCCTGTCATGGACTTTTGGAGTGACCCGCAAAGAATCAACACAGCAACAGTAAAATCCATAAATGTCAAAGGTCTGTATTTGATGACTTCTTGAATATTACTGGTGTGTGCAACTACATGGCCCAGATATAGTATGAGCACCACCATGTCCCCTCTTAAGGTAATAATCCAACAAATGCTTTAATGCTAAGTGGTTGATTACATCTTTTCACTGGACCTGATAAAATCTGGAAAATTCTTGTACCACTAATTCTTAATAGTTACATACAAACAGTTTAGCTCTAGGAGGGGACTCATAGGAAGAACTGAGGAAAGGTTAAAAATCAATCTCAAAATGCCACTAGCTAATTTCCCAACCTCCTATAAAATGAGAAAGGGAAGGCCAAATCGACATCTGGCAAGAAACAGTTCTAACACACAGGCCCCAGCTGAGGTCCCATCTGAGGCCTGAGTGTTGAAAAGATAATGAAGAAGCTTGAATAAGAAATGCATTTAACTGAAATTAATTTCAGTCATGAGACTCAGATTGGATTAAAATTTAAAATCAAATCACAGTCCTCGCTTTAATAGAAAATTACAGGATGACTCTGACATTCATGAACAAAACATGACAAATATAACTTACCTTTAAACCCTTCTTCTGGCATACAAACTGAAAAAAGAAAAAAAAAAAAAAAAGAATTCCAAATTGAAAAGATTGTCGTGACAGACAGTATAAGATCACTTCAATGCTTAAGGATAAGAGTTTAAAATAACTTTTGATTACCTTAGTCACTGTGTAATAATCATCTTTGAAGTTATGGATGTTATTAATCTGAGGACGGTCTTTTCTGTTTTTATCAAAGCAATACGTACGCATCATCTAAAAAGTCAAATACTGATAGGACTCAGTTTGCAACTAGAGCACACATGATGCACAACTCTAGGAGTGGCCTGGGGGAAAGCCATGTAACTGACTCCTGCGAAGTGGTCTCTCCCCTTCCTCTTCCCAAGTTCTGGAAGGAGTCGCTTTTGACTCATGTAGCAGCTCCTTCTATATTTAGCCTATTTCTAAATAACATGCTTACATTGCTATTTCATAATTTTGTTTTTATTTTTTGAGAGGGAGTCTAGCTCTGTCGCCCAGGCTGGAATGCAATGGCGTGTTCTTGGTTCACTGCAACCTCCGCCTCCTGGGTTCAAGCAATTCTCCTGCCTCAGCCTCCAGAGTAGCTGAGACTACTGGCACACATCACCACACCGGGCTAATTTTTGTATTTTTAGTAGAGACAGGGTTTCACCATGTTGACCAGCTGGTCTCCCAACTCCTGACCTCAAGTGATCCACCCGTCTCAGCCTCCCAAAGTGCTGGGATTACAGGCATGAGCCACCATGCCCGGGCTATTTCACAATTTTTCCTAAAATCTACTAACTTCCTCAGTGAATGATGCAAACAGCTCTTCTACTGCTTACACAGCCCCCACCCCCATCCCATCCTCCTGATGAAGTGGCATCTGTTGTTGTTAAGCCAGTCTCCAGTACTGGCATTATTGTTTACTCCATTAATACTGGTCACAGTTGAATGCTTGGTGCACCGTGATTATATTTCCTATGTGGTATGACTTGGTTTTTCTGAGCTTGGTAACTACTGCATTACTGATGTGTTTTATTTTCTCTGTATTTATCACCAGTCCACATATAAACTCTTAAAGACCTGTAACCTCTTGAAGGCAGTCTTCATCACTTCCACTTTTCCTTGTGGCATCCCTTCCTGAAGCTTGCATCCCACTGCTCCAATATGGATCAGGTATCTTCGCTGCCTGCTGAAGAACAGCAGTTCTGAGACTTCCTTTCACCATCTTCCAGGGCATCTGATCCTACGCTGATCCCCTATTTACTGGGTCCACTGTTCATTTCTTTCTTGATTTAATGTTTAAGAAGAACAAGAAGAACACATCCTCACACAGTATCTTGGCAGATGGTGCATGACAGATCAATCTTTTGAGGCCTTATGTATGTTCGAAGAGCCATCCGGTGTGAGAGTAGAATAAAGTCAGTTTAGTTACAGAATTCTAGATTGGAACTCACTTTCCCACAGGATCTTGTGGGCACTGCTCCATTATCTCGTCTTCCTGACTTCAACCTGTGAATTCGATTGGCTTTCCCTCTGTACTTCTAGAGGCTTTCATGACCCTCTTTATCCTTAGTTTTTCACTTACTGTAACAAACCCATGGTGTAATCGCTTTTTATTTCCATGAACTCTTTTCTATTCTCCAAATGTTCCTTTTATATAGTTCCTCTTGCTATTGTTTGTTTGCTTCCTATGCTATTTCCTTGATATCTCCTGGTATCAGGCTCTCATTCCTCAACTATCTGGCTGCTCATTTCTACCTAAGTATATGAGGTAGTAAAAAGATATCTGGGCAGGGCACGATGGCTCAGGACTGTAATCCCAGCATATTGGGAGGTCGAGACGCGTGGATCCCAAGGCCAGGAGTTCCAGAGCAGCCTGGCCAACAAAGTAAAACCCCATCTCTACTAAGAATACAAAAAACTAGCTGGGCATGGTGGTAAGTGCCTGCAGTCCCAGCTACTTGGGAGACTGAGGCAGAAGAATTGCTTGAACCTCAGAGGCAGAGATTGTAGTGAGCTGAGATCATGCCACTGCACTCCAGATTGGACGACAAAGCAAGACTCCATCTTAAAAAAAAGACGTCTGTGAAGTCCGGATATAAACAAAAGAAAAAAAAATCATGTCTGAAAGATCTGTTCAGTGGGCACTGGTGGGATTAACTGAAGGGTACCTGGGAGATGAACCAGCTTTTAAAAAAATACCAACAAGGCTGGGCACAATGGCTCACATCTGTAATACCAGCACTTTGGGAGGCCAAGATGGGCAGATCACCAGAGGTCAGGAATTCAAGACTAGCCTGGCCAATATAGCGAAACCCGGTCTCTACTAAAAATACAAAA